CAATTACGTTTCAAATTTGTGTAAGAAATAGTTACATTTTTTATCCCACTTAGACAAAGAGTAATTGTTGATAATTAAAATAGATTTTATATCTATTCTTGTTGAGTATGTTTTTAAGAAATAGATGCAATTTTTTGTAGAATTTTTATTAAACCAAAGTCAAAGATTTAATTAGATCCCTTTGAAATCTGTAATTATAACATCTTTTTTAAATTAAAATTACATCTAAATCTAAACAAATTTTCAAAAAGAAAATTCATCTATATGTAACCAAAAAAATTATAAAAAATACAAGTAACAAGATTACAGATGGTTATAGTTTTGTTTTTTAATCATAAGCTGGCAAGGAAATCATACAGATTATTTTTAAAGAATATAATACTTCCAAGCTAAAAATCCAAGTTGCAAGAAAATTCTATGACAGTTTCTTACAAATATATTTTCTTTGGATAAGTTTAAATAGTTACATGGCATAGTTGTAGATCCAATTTGCATCTAATAAATTTAATTAATATTTATTGAAATAAGTTCTATAAGAAACAATCATATTTTTCTTATATTTTGATTGTTTAGTAAAATTAGAGATTAATTAAATTATATTTACTACAAAATTTAGTATCTATTTTATAAAATGATCAATTATTGATCTCTTGGTCTATAAATAATGTTTCATATTCAAACAAGAAATTTATTAAATTTATTTAAAAAATTCAAAGATTTTTTTTTTAATAATATGATATTTTGATGTTCTTAATTGGAATTTTATGAATTATATAAACCTCTAATATTTAAAAGAAAACACATTATTGCACAATAATTATCTTCAAAAAATAAAATAAACCAAATTTAAATGATAAGAAATGTAGACAAAATATGATGTTTGCTAAGTAAAATAATAAATTATTTTATAATATAATTATTTTTTCAAATAGCAATAAAGTTATTCAATTGTATCAATAAAGTTATTCAATAGTATACCACAAATGTTGTTATAACAAGTCATTTAATTGTTTGATTTTCTTCTAATTTTAGAATAAAATTTCAATATATTTATGTTTCTATTTTTTATGTTGTAAAAGATATTCTCCAAATTGTAATATAAAGTGGAATCCTTCAAAAAATAAAATGTAATTTAGAAATTTATGATATAAAAAGCCTTTTTGGAAAAATAAAATTATCTTCTATTTTACACGTAAGGATTTTGGTACAAAATAATTAAATGCAAATTTCATTTCAATTAGACAATACATTATTTTAAAATCAAATTTGTTGAAATTAGAGGTTTGTAAATATGCAATAAAATCTAGAGAAGCATATAATCATGGTTGTTTTAGAATAGACAATGGTTGAAGAAGTCCATACAATTAATGTTGCAGAATCTTTGTCTAAGAGTATATATCACAAGATTTTATAATAACATCACATTCAATACCACCAAAAATATCTTTAAAATAACATTCAATAAATAACTAAATAAATAAGAATGCATATATATATATATATATAAACACATACCAATGTGATTTAGTGAGACTGTTTTTCAATTTGACGGTAACCAAAAAAACAACTTAAGCATTATTCCAGGAGGAAAAAAGAGTTGACAGTTTGACGAATCGCCACGTGCCTAATCGAGAGTTGAAATGTAATGTCAATTTGTTGGTAGCCACTGGAATCGTAGCACATTTTTTTTGGACGAGGTCTGTGGCAAACTTCAGAGCTGAGTGCACTCGATCCGATGCTTATGGACAAGGAAGTTGCAGAGTACGCGTTACCGACTGTAGCCTTCCTCGAAAAAGCTTTTGTCGCATCTGCTGTAGCCTTCTGTGCTGGACGTACCGACGAAGCACATTTTCGCGCTTACCAATCCCGAGGATTCTCTTGCTTTGGGTCAACTTCGGCGGCCTAGTCGGATTAAGGTCCTCTCACCAGGGAATTACCGAATACTGGCAATTGGGCGCCCCTTTGGGAGTATCAACGAGATAACCGCACCGATGCACGGTAGTTGTGACCAATTCTATTCCCTGGAGGTGTGGAACCCCCATCCCTCTCGTCAACTTGAAGGCGCAAGTTGCAACCCAAGTGCCTATTCCTCTGCGCGCGGTTGCTTCAAAAGCCCGCTCATCTGAAATCTGCAGATCTTTCAGTGAAAAGCAATGTCGAAGGTTTTGTGAGGACAGGGGCATGCGTGCGAGCGTTCGTCACCGGCTGCACTAATCGGTAGGCAGATTACGCAGGCAGTTTTGTTTTGTCTACTTCTCTTCCTGATTGATATCTTCTTGATGATTCACTGATGTATTATCTTCGCTACCTCTTCTCCTCAGAATTCGGCATATATGAGTATGTAAGCATCCACCGGGTGAATTCCACAATGCGAATGGTATTCGTTCCGATGAATCTTTCCTTAGATGTTGATGTTTGAGGAGTTTCTCTTGTCTGCTGGCAATAATTTTATTGTAGGTTCGGAGACGCGCAGTTTTCAAACTAACGTGCCGTCAAAGGTACGCGAGTTCGTCGCTTAATCGTGTATTAGATGCTGAGGGTGGAGTTTTTGGTTTTCCAATTGCCGAAGTGGTGAGCGGTGTTGCTCATTTTGTGGGCTGAAGAGATCTACTTCAGCAAACAGAAAAGTGTGAGTACCATCATCTGACAAATCTCGATCATAGGGTTGCCCTTCGGTCGTTCAAAACCTTCGCCGTTGAAGTGCAATGCCAGAAACCTTGTGATGTTTATTCCGCGCTTCCTGCTACCACTTATGTTATCGATGGTCTCGCTCTTTGGTCAAATGCGGAGTCTGAAATTTCCAAGGTATAAATGCTACCCTGGAAATTCCAGACCTAGAATTACTTGAAAGGTTGAGTCTCTGTTAGGTTTGTGGTGGTGATTTTCTCGAAGGGTAGTGAGTCCTAATGGGACTCTCGATTCCATTCCTTCATTCAATATATTTGTTCTGATTCTTACTTGGATTTCAGGAAGGTGTTGCTGTTACCTATCGCTCTCGCCGTGAAACCATGGCCGAGAATGGTCGAAAGAAATCGTCGGAGGTCCAAAAGCTAAGTGATCCTAATTTCTTGGTGGAAGTTGGAGTGGGTCCTCCGACGCCAACATTAGTTCCGCAAAGGCCAGGGACAGGAGTAGTTGTGGGAGGCCAGTATGCCGATGAGGTGAAAAGGTTCATCTGGAAGAAAGCACATTTTAGTCTAGATGACAACCGGATATTCGATAAGAATGGACGCTTGGTGGCCGTCTCTTACCACTGGGGAAAGAACCCGTACGAGAGCTTAGACCCTTTGAATGTTATTCCAGATAATCCAGTGGGAGAGTGGGAATCCGTTTGCTACATCTCAGGATACGACGGAATGCCTCAATTAAAAGTAAGGCCCGCGGCCTGGTCCTTGCACGGCAGACAGTACATTTACGACTGCAATGGCGAGAGAAGTTACTGTAACATAGCCAGCGTCTCGAGGCTGAAAACTATGTCCGTCCGACGCAACTTTGCGGTCTTCGCCGGAGACGAAGACTCAGAGCCCACGTACACCGTCCTGGTTGACCTAGCGGGGCGAACGATGCAGCTGGTGAATGCAAATGAGGAGCGCGTGGCGGTGTTCACGAAATCGGTGGAGACGCTGATTCTGAACGCTACTTTGGGGGTGGGATCGGAGTTCACCATCGATGTAGCACCGGGGGTGGACTGGACGGCCATGCTGGCCATCTGCATCGGGTTGAACCAAGTGGGAAAAAGCTATCAGAAGGACGCGATGAACAACTTCCTGGTAGACCCAGCGAAGGATGCGGCCATGGGCTACGCTTTGAACGAGGCCCTCTTGGTCGCAGACGGAATTCAATCGGGTGAAATCGAGGTGCCCGAACTCGGTGAAATCGAGGTGCCTGAAATCGAGGTACCCGAAGTCGAAGTACCGGAGGAAGTATCTAGTTTCTTTGGAACTGTTATGGAATCCTTACTTAGTGCGTTAGCAGAAGAATAGAACCTGCCACTGTTGCTCCAGCCATGTTGTGTGGCAATTGCCTACAATTGCTATAGAATGTACATTCCCTTCCAACAAGATAGAAAATTTCGAGTAAACAAATGCAAAGCATGAATTTCGAGCAGCGTATGATACGACGGTTGTTGCTAGTTGTACAAAGAAAGGCTGCAACATAAATTCCACGTGTACGGTATCATACATTTAATATTGGGTTTCCATTATCTTTTGAAAGTATCTCAGAATTCTTTCGAGTATATTGTTTGAAAAAATGTCTAAAATAAGCGCATCCTGAAGCCTTGCAATTGCAAACCAAGATAATAAGTAACAAATTGTAAAAATCCCCAACCTATTTACTAAATAAACCCATCCATCATTATTTTACCCCAGCCCTCGGTATACAAATTCATGAACTCGATCAATCTTGCAACATCCATCATCAATACCCGCACAACCAAAATAAATCAGTGCAAGATCTGCAACAAATAAAACTATTGCGCTTCAGGATCCTGTATGTCAAACATCCCATATTTCACAAAGTCATTTCGAAAACTCCAAACCTCAACTGAACAACTCCCGATAAAAACATTCATGTTACCACAGCACCACCCCAACAGCTCTAGAACAACATTACTTTGATTCGATTCTTCAAAATCATATGTTACATATTTACCAAGTTTGTATGCACCACTCAGAAAACATGGGTGGATTCACGCGCACCACCAGGCTAGGCCACAAAAATATGTATTTTCAAATCCTCACGCATGACACATAATTGAACAGTTCGTCAACAAGAAATTACTTCAAAACATACATGTCAGGTCCACGCTACCGCTTAGCCATCTCATCCCAGCACGAAATTGTATACCAGCTTCCCCAGCCCCATCGCCGTCCCAGCTCCGCTACACAAGCGAACTCCGCCACAGTATCATACACACGCAGCCACCCCACGGCGATGCTATCCACCGCCCATGATCCCTCCGCGCCTGCCTGCCTGCCTGCCTGCCTACCTACATACATTTAGTGGAACACGGGAGCTCCGCGGATCAGCTCCGTGACAACCAGCGACAAGAATCCCAGCATCGCCAGCCGCCCGTTCCATCGCTCAGCCCGCGCCGTGAACGGCCCGAAGCTGCGAGCATCCGTCGACTCGCCGTTCATGATCGGCACCAGCGACGCGTACGTGAACAGCTGCACCGCGCCCACGAAGTACACCAGCCCGCTCGTGGTGGGGTTGAACAGCTGCTCCGCCACCGTCAATCCCGTCGCCTTCTCCGCGAAGAACGCCCACACGATGCCCAACATCGCCAGCCGGCAGTTGATGGTCTCGGGGGCAGCCCCGTCGAACGCGAACACGCTGAAGAAGGACTTGTCGCCGGTCTCGGGCCGCCTCTCGATCTCGGGGCGGGGGGTGAACCCCACAGCCTGGTCGAACCCCGGGGTGGGCTTGGCGCCGAAATACGAGCGCTGCTCCGACTCGTTGGTCTCCATGTTCTTCAGGATCTCGCCCTCCGTGATGTCCTTCTTCGTGCTCTCATTGATGGTTTCCCGCAGGCCCTTGCCCGCCTCGCATCGAACTCGTCCGGCCAGCGACGCGCCCAGTCTGGGTCGGTCCACCACGCGGGAAGCAGCGCTGGACAGCCTCGTGGAGGAGGGGGCCAGGGCCATGAGGCCGCCGGCCATGGTTGCAGCGGCAGACATCTGAGACATCGCGGCGGCCATCGTCCTGTTCTACTCACGAATATGAGAGGCAATCAATCGGCCTCCTAAATCTCTTCTGGATTGATGATAATGCGAGATATCCGATTGAAGGCTCAATTTCTTAGTTGGTCGAATGGTTGTCGATCCGGTTTATTTCGCCGCGCGGTGGAAGGTTGATGGATGTTGCGATGATGACAATTGGGGGCGGAGCGCCTGGGCTTATGTGCAAGGGCCTGTGGGAGAATCTGAGGAAGCCCTGGTGGGGTTGCCGCAGATGGCAATGCGGAAGGTGCGCCCAGCTGCAAGCTGCAGGGCGCGACAGAGAAGGATGGAGATGAGGGGCACAAGAGGATGGCATGTGGCGATGAATCGGAAACATTCGCAAAAGTGAGGGCGTTGGGCGAGGAATACCACCACGTCTGCGGAAATGTGGAGAAAAGCGCATCGAGGCGACTGCCTCTGGATGATAGAGAGCCAAGGCAGACGCCAGGAGGAGGCAGAGCGTCGATGCCTGCGTGGTGCACTCAGACTGGACTCCCTCCAAATTTCGGTTGTTCCGGAGGCACCACGGAGGCATCCAGGCACGGCCTGTTCCTCGCGTCTGGATTGGCCGCAAGAGTGTGCCTCCATCAGGCGCTCATAGGCTGGCTGCGGAGCTCATGTGCGTTTGCTTTCCCCTCGCGTGACCAGATCTCTCGTGCTCAACAGTGTTGACCACCAGCAACACACACAACCTCTCTTTCGAGGTGCAGGTCGCTTCGTTCGGTTTATTCTTAGCTCACCAGTGATATGTATACGAGAATGGATATGTTTTCATTGTTCGGGCTTTTAATCTTTCTATGCCAATATGAGAAGTTCTAGAATTTAAACCATTTAGTTTTAAAATAGTCTCTAAAAAGAAGTAAAATTGGTCTTTGTAGGAGTGGTTGCGATTTATTTGAAGCTCTTTTTTTTTCTTTCTTTTTTCTTTCTTATTTTTATTTATTTATTTATTTTTGTTGTCTGCACATCAAGATTAGATTTGTGGGTTTTAGGCATTTTCATGGTATATATATTTTATAGTTAGAATACAAGCAATGATTTATATTCTGTATTGATATAGCTAGTAGAAGTGATTTATATATGTATGTATGTATGTATTTATACATAAAAGAATGGTATACATGATCCGAGTTTTAGATTTGGAGAATTAGTGATTTTTATGTAAAAGATGAAAAAATGAAAAAAGAAAAAATATATTTAGTTTAAGTTTTCTCAAATTTAGGTTTTTAATAGATTTTTTTTTTTTTTTTTTTTTTGGTTTTATATTTTTGTTTTGGATACAGTTGTACTTAAGAATTTACAAGTATTTTTTTTCTTTTTATATTTATATCCTTAGTTTATATCAAAAACCTTGACTTGTTATTTCATTTTATTTTATCTTTTATGTTTACCACGATTTAGTTTTTTATGTGGAAGTAAATATCAAAGTTTTTGGTTTTGGAATGATATATTAGTTTTTTGGGTATCTTGATTACGATCTAATTGTTCCAGAACGTTATAAGAAGACTTATTTGATGAATTTTAATTCTTTTGAAGATTATTTGATCCAGTACGTAATTTTTTAATGCTGGTAGAAGAGATCTATGTATAAATATAACATCAAATCAGACTACACAAGTAATGTTTTTGGAATGCATCAAGTAATAAACGTAAAATTTATTGGAAAGATAAATGATTAATTAGACTTTATTTTTTTATTATGTATTTCTTCTATTTGAAATTGATGTATTATACTTAGAATATTTTTGTAATGGAAACATACAAAATAAAATTATTAAATTAGAAACTAAGGTAACCAGTGGCATTTTTTTCTAAGAGTACATGTATGTATGTATATATATATATATATATATAGAGAGAGAGAGAGAGAGAGAGAGAGAGAGAGATTTTCAAAAAAAACTGAGATTTCTAAATAAGTTACATAGTGTTTTTAAAAATTGACAACATATATAATAGTATTGTTAAAAGGATCATTATATTATTAACCATTTAAGTATAATGGTTTTTAACTAACAAAGCATACATATTCTTTCAAAATTTTACTTCAAATAAAATTATGTTTCTACTTCAAATTGTAATTTTAGAATCTAAATTCTTCAATACTACTAGCTATGTAAAAAGTTTGATGTTGTTAAATGCTATTAGATATTTGTTTAAATTTGATCTTAAAATATTTTGTATATAGACTTATTGAATTATTTTTTTCTTATTAATTTGGTTTAGCCAACATTTTATTAATTTGAATTCAAAGAGGCACACTACCAAATACAAAAGTTAAAATAAACAAAATTGTTTACTATTTGGTTTAGATTAATTAGTTATCTTGATAACTTGGGACTTATAAGTAACACCAATTGGTATTAATTACAATTGATGTAATCACACCTTTAACATTTGCCCTACATTAGACTTAATTTGATTGGCATTAATGACCAATTTAGGCAACAAGGTTAATTTTTTCTTATCTTTTCATGAACCTCTTCAAGTTAACGAAAAGTCCAATTGAAAAAAAATCCCAACTTTAAATTGTAATATAAATCAATGCAAATATTCTTCCAATATTTATCATTAGTCTAAAAGGTTTTTAATAGTACAAAAGTAGAACACAAAATAGAATGTACACTTTAGTTATAAACCCACTTCTTTTTTTATTACAATAATTTCAATTCAATGTGACATACAAATTGGACATATCACAATAAGATTTGAAGTCTAATTTAACTTTTTTGGTAATGCTCCCAATATTTATTAAGTCCAATAAGAGAGCTTAACAACAACACCATGTCAACTGGATAACCACTTATCCTAGACTTGGCAATATAATTCTCTCCATTTCTTGTCTTTTGTAGACTCATCAAGTAAATTTACTTGCTTTTTGGTATAACCTTCAAAACTCAAAACACTCAAGAATACTTATTAAAAAATATTGCTTTATTTCTAAAATACCCAATATTTCTTAAGTTGATGACATCTTTCAAATTGGAGTGTATTTTTCTACTAGAATTACACTTACTTTATAATGTGTTTGATTATAAGCACGAATTATTTTGTAATAAAAAATCTTTTTGTACAACATATTAAGTAAGAAGGTCTTTAGCATTAGAGACTAATTTAATAAAAATAAATATTAATCTAAATATAATAATTAATATCAATACTTGTAGCTAAGTGCATTAATAGTGAACTCATCTTATTGCTAAAATAGATGTTTTGTAGTTTCTTTTTGTTGTTGTGTATTGACATAGCTATGTGGTAAAATATAATCAAGAGAGATCTTAAACTAATACTTTACTATCTTAGTTTAAGAAGAATTCAAGACATTTAACAAGGTTTTATGAAAGCCTACTAAGGTTTTATTTTGCTTGTCTTTATATCTAGTACGTTAAAGTAGATTAGCAAAGTATTCTTTAAGGCTCTATTTTAGAATAAAAATCCTTATACCACCTTGAACAAGTCAAAAAACTATAAAGATGAGGTGATTAGATAATTAGAACAAATGATTGACTCTAAAGTAATGTTAAGTATAGGATCATGCTAAAAGAATCCTAGGATAAGTTGAATTGATACTTGGGAGACAATTATTTCTAAGTCATAGTCAAAATTAGACTTGTAGCTACTAAAACAATAGCCTAGGGCAAAATAAGGATGCATTTTGGAGATTGGCTTAGAAGATTGGCAAAATTACCTTAAGCTTGTTTTAAATACAAAAGATTGGTTTCAATTTGCTTTGGATTGACTTTGAAAGAACTATTCAAAGTCAGGGTTTGTATTGGCAATTCAGGTTTTACAAAATATAATTAGAGCTAGCTTTCTTGGATGGTTTATGCAATTAAAAAACTACATATGGTTGGAATTTTTTGAGTATATGACTTATTATATATAATAAACATGTGTTAAAATTTATGCTATTGTAACAATGCAAATAAAAGATCTCATATCATAGATACAAAGAGGTACCAAATTTAATAACTTTTAGGATTGGTTACGATTCTTGCAATATTTGAATATCTGCTAAATAAACTAAGATGAATCTTAGCAGGCTATTAGAAGTCTTAATGGCTTAGCTATAAATGAATTTTGAACCAAAATAAATAATTAGAAATTAAAAAATTGATATTAGAACTTCTTTCAAGTTGGAATTTGAAGGACATTAGTGTGGTATTTTTGGCTTTTTTCACACAATATATGAATATGATTGAGCTAAATTTTTGTAATTTTATAGAATGCTTATAGTGGTATAAGTGTGCAAAAATTCACACTTGTTAAATAGTGTATTTCAAAGCTATAGCTATATAAAGTTTAGTGACTAGAGTTCTAATTTTAAAGGAAAATTTGATATTGCAAACAAATAAACATAACAAAGTAATAAGAGTTTCTACATGGTTATGATAAAAAAGAAGAGTGTATTTGAACACATTATATTTTTATTAAAATATCTTGAACTAGAAATACATAACATTGCTCTTAATTAGTCCAAACCTATAAGAGTTTCTTAGGTAGTTGCAAAATTTAACTCTACCTTCCATAATCAAATGCCCAATGTATTTTGAAACAAGACAACACATAATATAATAATTATTATAATAACTTCTTATGAAAGTTATTAAACTTATAACTCAATGTTGTGTAATTTTGTTTTTTGTATCAATTTGACGAGATAAAAGCAAGCTCTTTGTTTTTAAAAATAAAAATAAAAACAAAAATATTACTTTAATTGATCTAAAGTATGAAGGAGCATCCATCATCTCAACTTATAAAACCTCTTTTGTAACACAATGTACATATTCAACATTTGTTACTCATTTGCAAAACTTTGTTTCTTACTTTGAAATGTTAGAATACTTTGATAATAAGGTTGTATCCAAAAAGAAAACTTTAATGAAATTTGAAGTCTTTTTAAATCATGAAAACATTTAAAAATTTATTTTAGACATCATTGGTTGCATTGCACAACTTTGAAAATCTAAATATTAATACAC